AAAACATTTAAAAGTCGGTCAATACCCTGGTCTCGTTCGAGCTGCAGCTGGGGGCCTGCTCCCGCCTGCAGCCCTGGCAGCCCTGCTGTAGAGGGCGCTCTAACCCCGCCCCTCGCCCCTGCAGCGGACGTGTCCGGGGTGGACTGGATGGTGCGTCACGGGCGCAGCATGGCGCTCTCGGTGGCGGTGAAGGCCGACGCGGCCCGTCTGTGCGGCGAGGAGTACCGGTCGGCGGCGCTGGACACCATCATGGCCAACGCCACCGCGGACCGGGTGAGAGAGGGGCGCACGGGGCACAACCTGCCTTCACGGTCTTTTCTGCCCGGGGTCAGCTAAGCGGGGTGGCCGCAGAGGAACGAGTAGACGGTGATTCCCAGCTGGAAAGAGAAGAAAGGAAACGTTTAGGCTGTGGAGCCATCTTCGGGTGGGAGAGAGAGACAGGGGAGTCAGCAGAGATTATCCAGCACAGGAGGAGAACGGGAGCAGGGGGAGGCGGAGTCGAGAGAGGTGAAGAGAGGAGTGAGGTCGAAACCCACAAAGGGACAGGGAGGATTAGGAGGAAACAGGCCTGTCGTTGAGAGAAGGGGGAACCTGTGGACCAGGTTTCAGGATGATGTGGTTCCCAGTCCTGGACACCAGGGCCAGGCTGAGTGACCCGGGGGGCTGATCTTTCTCCCTGCTCTCCTCTTCCTCCCCCCGCCCCGACAGATTCCCATAGCGACCAGCGGGATCAGAGCCATGGGCTTCCTGATGAAGCACCAGGTGGACACCGAGGGGGGCGCCAGCGTGTCTCCCAGGATCACCACGCACTTCGTCAAGGTGACAGACGCTCGGGGTCCGGCTGGTGGTCGGGGGGGCTTTTTGTTTCCCCGAAGGGGCCTGTCGGTGGTCCGGGTGAGTTGACCGTCTCTCTCTCTCTCTCTCTCCCGGCGCGGGCAGTGCCTGCAGAACTCGTCCAGCGAGGTCCGGCTGGCGGCCGAGCGCGTGCTGTGGTGGGTGTGCCGGGACCCCGCCAGCCCCGCGCTGGAGCCCCCCATGGTCAAGCCGCTGCTGAAGGCGCTGCTGGACAACACCAAGGACAAGAACACGGGCGTGCGGGCGCAGAGCGAGCACACCATCGTCAGCCTGCTGAGGCTGCGGCAGGGCGA